GTTAAGCAGATAAAAATCTTTCCATGGTGGTTGAAGAACTGGGATTGAATTAGTGTAGACTAGCCATGGAAATGATAGGGGGAGATGGCAACCTTTAATACGCTTATATCGAGTTTTGCAATGAGGGCATGCTTGAGTTCCCTCACTCCTTTCATACTCATAGCAATGTCTACAAACAGGGAATGCACACTCATTGCAAGCAACAAATGGCTCTCCATCCCCTGTTATCTCTATGTCATCCGCACAGATCTGGCAAATTTCCCCAGTTAGATGTTTAACGCCAGTCACCTGCAAATAGCATGATAATGAAGGTTGAGAATTTGAGATGAAGAGGAAGCGTCCCGAGCTGCCTCAGCAAATCAATTCAATGGGTTAGTGGATAGAAGCTCCACTATATGTGACCATGCAGAAATTTTCCGAAGCTGTAGTGAGAAATAGTCCGTGCCGACTCCGTGGGTCTACATGCACAAAATAACCGGACAGGGGAAATAAAAAAAAATGCAGGGTTATGTCTCGGTTGCCGTTACTGAGCCCAAACTTGTAGAAGGAAGCAATACAGGAACAAATGAAGAAGACACAAGGAAAACAAATGCATATGCTGGTATGGGGAAAAGAAATAAAGAATGTACTGAATGGGTAGTGTGTGAATCTCCAAAAGAGCGAATGAGTTTTAGAAGAAGCACCAGGGAGGAACAATTAGTAGACCAGAAAAAACTCCCACAAAAAATAAAACAGAGAGAAGTCACTTCTGAGGTATCTAGTCCAGCAACAAGGCAAAAGAAGAAATCTTTAAGGGACTTACACGTCCAACTTCATCAGCATTGATGAAAACAAACTCGTTCCTGTTGTGAGAACCAGTCACAAGCCTTCCTGTAGCCATAAGCGTAACTCACCCAACTCACAAAAAGCCCACAGCTTTGGAAATCCAAGAGCTTCACTTTTGCTTAGGCAGTATAAAACCTCTTGCCTCTTCCCTTTATCACTCAAACACCTTAAAAATCTCAACTTTGAGCTCTCTCTCTCTCCCTCTCTCTCTCACACCGAGGCACCCATTAGAAGAAGCAACAACCCCACATCATAGAAATGGCCCAGAAAACAGAGACTTGTACACACCAAGAGAGAGAGAGAGAGTTACGCAGGGGAAAATAAAGAGATGAGCAACCGAATGTAGGGGAATTAAAATAGTAAAACAAAATGGTGGTTTTGGAATGTCATAAGTGCTTGCGTACCTTTGTTAAATCTTATCAAATATGTTTTGACAATTCAAAAGTAGGTGATTTTAATAAAAATGTAGAATCATAGTAGATGAGTGATTCTTTAAGGACCAACGTACAAATGAACGGGCTTCTCTCTCTTTGCAATCTCAGTGGTCTCGACCAATGACACGAGCGAGGGAGAGAGGGAATCTAACTGTAACTTACAAAAGAGGCAGGGGGAAATTGAAAAATTCAATGCATGACATAATGAGGACGACATAAGGACAGAGACAAACAAGAAGAGGGAGAGAGAGAGAGCTGTGCGAGTGTAGTGTAGACATGTACAGGTTTTCGTTCTTGCTGTATTAGCGGCCGTGTCGTTTGTCTGAATCTTACATCCATGTGCACTCTCGTGTGTTTTGTCTGTGCTTCGAAGTTCGGAATGTTTGTTGTACTTCCGGTGGGGGCCCAGAAGAGTTTACTGCAGTGGGGGGCGGCAGCGGTGGTGCATCTGCCGTGCCTGAGTGGCGGCACCTCACGGCGTGGCGGAGGCCGGAAAGTACGCTCGCATGGTGGTCATTCAAGTTGGGATGCCAGTTTTGAGGTCTTACTTCTGATTGGAAAACAAAAAATGGACCTCAAAGGATATGAAATGGCGACAAGCAATAAAAGTTGCGAAAAGAGGAATAAGAATACACTATATGGAAACCAAAATGCTACAGAAATAGTATAGATTGATTGTTCGAAAACTGTAGTCTCCAATAATACCTTAATTGGTGGGTTACAAGTTATGGACATCACCTACATGCGAACAATTTAATGTGAATAATATTCATTATTATAACTCACTGATCAGAAATATGATCGGAAAAAAATATAATTTAACTGCATCGAGGAAGGTTTTATTTTGTGTACGATTTGTCAAACAAACTTTGCAGTTTTGATTTTTTTATTTTAGTAAGCTTTGTGTCCCGTGGTCTATACGCTTGTGTAAAAAGTAAAGCTCGATTGATTTAGTCAAACCTGGCGAAGAAAATCGTAGTTATCTTCTTTTAAATACATAATAAATTACGTTCACAAGCGAGCCTTTCATCTTTTGAGGTGGTTAGTTCCATTATTCGAACCGTGTTTAGATTGATTTATACCTTTAATTTTTTGAATTGACTTCCGATTTGGGAACTCTAGAGGCATACTTAAACTCAAGGAACTTTTTTCCCGAGAAGAAGAAGCGCAATGAGAATTTCATAGCCTTAGAGACATGGAAATATCTTTTTCTGGCACAAGGTAGGGTAATTTACCACCTGAATTCTCTCAAAAGGAAAAATAATTATCGTTGATTGAATGTCCTCCTCTGCATGACACGTGGCAAATTTCCACTCTGACGTGCCCTCCATAAAAAAAAGCCCAAAAAAATAAAAATAAAAATAAAAATGCAATTGTGATATTGTTCTCTTGAAGCAACTAGGATTAGCTATTAGAAAAAAAAAATAAAGAAAAGAAGAAAAACTAGGACATCAATTACTGAAATATTGAAATCAATCAAACACTCATTTTCACAAGGACCAAATGGGTTTTTGTGGCTTAGCATCCAAGAGATCAAACAACCACCGTAGACAACAAGAAAAGCTTGGGTCTTTGTGACACGTGAACTTGTTTGTTTGTTTTTTTTTTTTTTTCGATCCAACACGTGAACTTGATTAAGAAAGGGCTAGAAATCATGCTCTTGCCCGACTTTTCTTGATCTAATAAGTAATAATCACCTTTTAGTGTTTTCCTCGTGAACCCTGAAACCCTAGATTGACCAACTTAAGGAAATCAGCGTGAAGAGACGAGATGTACTCCTTGTCTGATTAATTTACTTAATTGTCTCGGATTTCAATGAAAGTTTAGTGAGTGCCTAGCCAATCCAAGCCCTGATACTTCTCTTAGCCCAATAATCAATAGAGCCACTTATACATCCAATCATGGCATGCGCCAAATTAATGCCCGAGCATAATAGCCTCTGTATAAGTTGCAAGAGGGACTCAGCTTATCCATATTCATTATTTTCTATTAACACAACAAGAGGGGGTTTGCAATTATCTTTTGGGCCGCGCTTTTTCCACTCTTCGTTTGATTTGGACACTCTATTTTTTAGTGTTTTGACCATACTTCCTTTGTGGGGCCCACTATTTTTAGTACAACTCTATAAAATAATCTTTTTTTTATAATTATTTTGACCATACTTCCTTTGTGGAGATAAAAACTACGATTTGCAAAAGCAGAGAACTGGACGTTAATGGCGGAACCAGTCAAGCCTTTTTCACAGAGGTGGCCTTTCTTTCGCTGCCAACTGCTCAGGACACATTGCTTAGTAACAATTTTCCCAACCCAAGCTAGCCAGTAACGATGCTACATCTGCCAGTTGTATAAGCTGCGTCACTTAGAGTAGGTCTTTGATAATGCGGAAAAGAAAATTGTAGAATTTTTGTATATTTCGATATCTATTGAAGAAGAATATATAAGCCTATTTATAGAGTTTATTAGATGACTATATGAGATAACATATCAATCAAGATATGCATAATCAAAAGGAGATATACGCATAATTTTAAAAGATACACATAATCGACAAAATTATCGAAATATTTCTAATAAAGGAAATTATCTTAGAGAAATCTCCAATTATCTCTCCCAGCGACAAAAGTTTGTCAAATGAATATATGAACGAAAATTGCCAAGAGAATTACAGAATTCATTTCATTGTCCATTCGAAAGCAACTTGTTTCATTTACCTGCAAGGCCTGAGCGATAACACGTAGAATGTCTGTTACCGTTCGATAGCATTGTCATAAGCATAAGAGACAGTACAATCTACTGTTGCATAGTCAAATCTGTGCTGCAAAGCAAGTAACTTTCTTTCCTTTTCATTTTATTCTCATCGATTGAAGCGAAAAAGAAAAGTTTGTGACTTCTTTTGGCCCAAAAAACATCCGGGAGAATTAAAAATGCACTAATTCTTTGTTTATTATACCTACTAACGAAATTCAGTCGGCCCATGGGCCAGCCAATCAAAGTCACATTGCTGAACTTAATAGTCAAAACTACAAAAAGAAAGAGGAACAGGTTGAAGGGGAAATTCTTCCAATCTTTGACCATGACTATATAATTTCTCATAAATAAATTCCTAATTCTCTTGAAATCATTTCTACATCAATATTCAATTCAAAACGCACAATGCAGCCACTTAAAAGATTCAAGAAATTACTCATTGATGCTTCTCATGCCTTTATGCTAATGTTGTTGTTACAATATGATCAGCAGAACTTTTGCTTCTCTTTTTCTTGTTACAATCAATGGTGTTTTATGAACTTTATATATCTCGGAAAGATTTTGTCTTTACGGCTATATAAGAACGAGAAATTACTTTTTTGATGACTGATCGTGTGCTAAATTGACGATTCCTTCGATTCACACGCAAATTTTCTGTTCAATATGAGTTTTCATTTTATTTTCTGTTCAGTGCTTGTTGTTCATATACTTAAATATTTCCTAGCAAGCAGTACATTCTACAGTGCTTATACTACCACCGGACCCATCCTAACCAGTATTATTTTTCTTTCAGATAGAAATTTTTTCCAGTAAATTGGTTTTGCTCCAGCGTTACAATGTCATTAATTGAGAAAACCTAATTATGATCAGTATTGTCTCATCAACTTTCCCCATAATTATAATAATAATTCCATGAGGCCTTTTGCTTTCCCATACAACGTAACATCTCCATGCAACGTACGCCTATAAATACCTCAGCTCCACCAAAAATATTGTTCATACACATTGTAATCTCTCTACTCGATTGCCAAATTTGTGGGGGGAAAAATGCCTCCAATTCCCAAGCTTTTCATCTTCCTATTCGTCCTTGTGTCTTCATACTTCGCCATTACGACCGAAGCTGGCCGAGCCATCCCGGGGCACAAGCCAGCGAGCCTCGCAGCTCGGCTGAAGGTGGCAGAGAACGGGTCGGACTCATCAAACTGCTGGGAGTCGATGTTCCAGCTACAAGCATGCACCGGTGAGGTGATCATGTTCTTCCTCAACGGGGAGACTTACCTGGGTCCTAGTTGTTGCCAAGCCATTAGGACCATCGAGCATGAGTGTTGGCCCAACTTGTTGTCTTCGCTGGGGTACACAACCGAAGAGGGCGACATTCTCGAAGGCTACTGCGATGCTGCCGCCACCCTGCACCCGCCGTTGGTGGTGGTGCCCAACAAGGGTGTTCCAAACGTTGGAGGGTGATCATTTGATTTGGGGACAAGCTATTTGGGTCATTATGGAGATGTTTCTCATAAATAATGTAGTGTGTTGGGCTTTGGGGTTTGTTTTCATGAAGTTTGAGTTTGCTGGGTCGAAATTAATCAGCAGTGTCCCTTAATGTCTGCTTGTTTTTTCGTGGGTCAAGGGTTGGTTTGTTGAGGTAGAGTAAAAGGTCATGGTCAGAGTCAGGCTTCCGATGTTTGTCCTTCACTTGTAGTCACGCATGTTTATAGAGATCCATGTTATCCCAATTGGCTCAATGGCTTGATCATTCTCTGCTCCATTTGCATTAATCTACAAAAAAAAATGCAATTATCTGAGAACCAAGGAGAAGATTACAAGACAGAAAACAAAGACACATTCCTACTCCAGTCACACTGTCCGTTTTTCTTCTATCATTCACGATAAATAATAAAAAGTACCCGAGTTATACCATGATTGACCGCAGTTCAATTCGTATGGCTCAAGTACCCGTAGAAACGACCCTTTGATGGGGTTAAATCATGGTGGGATGCCACCGGTTGGAGAAGTGGCTCAACCACCGACGATGTCATTGTCCAGGAATTTGATTCTGCAAACTTTCCTGCTTCTTTCTGCGTGAAATTTGATGTTGCCTTTCCTTTTCTTTTTTGGTTTCATCTGACCTTGGAATTCCAACGTAACCCCTCATGAGGAACAATGTATGTGGATAATATTTCAATCGTTAGTGTCAGAACTCTTGCTCTCATGGTTGTCCAAATACATAATGCTTTGAGAATTATATCTCTCCGGGGGCACAAAATCAAAGACAACCAGGCTTGGCTTTGTGCATCTTCCTCTCGAAAATGAATGGAAATAAACTGAAATATTTAGCCCTATTAGAATAAAAGAATCGCACAAATAAAATCACTCATGTTAGTAAAAACAAGCAGTTGCAAGTAACATATTTCCGGGATGATTTAGCGCCTATATTATACGGAGATTAAAACCCACTTCATTTCTTCATTCATTTTTTATGCTCGTGTTTTCATAACTAAGATGTAATTTATCGATTTGTGCGATTGTGATGCACGACATGTAGCAATTTGCAGATTTTAGAAAGTCGTTAGGGAATTAGGGTTTACACTTGTGATAAGGACCGCTAAGAAGTTTGTTTCTATTCATATATATATATATATGGACTAGATAAAATCGCGTCGGCCAGATATTCCGACGCGATTTTATCTAGTCCCTTAGTTTTTTTTTTTTGGTAAGGTTATCTAGTCCCTTAGTTTATGGCTTGATCGCTCATCAAACTGTTTATTATCTTGCACGTGGCTGTAAGACAGCTGCAAATATAGATAACTACACACAAGCACACAATTTAATATTAGGGCATATGCACCGTAATCATATCATCATCGAATTTGCACTTTCTACATGTAGGGCTTTTTAAGCAGGCGCCTTCTTACGAGAGAAGCTAAGTAGACGAAGTCGGATAATCTTCTAATAGGAAGTGGACATATCGTGTTTTTCGCGGCATCAAACAAATGAGTCACTTTCCATAGTGATGTCGCGATCATCATGAAATCACAGGAGCCACTAGCCAGAGAACAGATAACTTTTTCGTGAGATTCAACTACCATTCTCTACGCCATAACCTGCCATTCAAGCCAACGAAAGCTCTCGTGATCATCGTCTACGATCCATGCCGACCGGGGGTAGGGTCTGAAATAAATTCTTGTACAGCAATGATATTGGGGAGCATTCACGCTTGCTTTGAACTTTCCACAGAGTAATCAGTAGTTACCAAGAGTTTCGATTGCTGAAATGGAGCGTGCAAATGAGAAAATGAGGGGAAAAAGTAACAACACTCCACTTAAATCCAGGTAAATTAACAAAAAAGTTATTACCTTATTACACTTGTGCCAATTTAGCTTTGAACCTTTTGACAATTTGCCAAAGTAGTCAATCCGACTAATTTTGGCTGAAAATTGCTGACGTGGACGCCGGCCAATCTACGTGGCACCGTCGACGCTAAAGTGGATAATTTTTGTAATTTAAAAGAAAAAATATATTTTTGAATTATTATTATTATTGTTTATTATTCTTTTCTAATTTTTCCCTTTTCTTTTTTTTTTCTTTATTGCGGCTGGGTGTGGGCTTGCGAGGGCTAGCGAGGGTCGCGGCCCTTGCCGGCCGTAGGCGAGGGCCGGCTTGGCCTTGCCTGTGGCCATCGAGGGCTGTCTCGCCCAGCCCTCTACGATCCTCGGCGAAAAGGAAAGAAAAAAACATAAAAAGAAACAAAAAAACATACATATTTTAAAAAATTGTCCACGTTAGCGCGGGTACGCCACATAGGACGGCCGGCGCTGGCTGGACTGCCATGTCAACATTTTCTGATCAAAATTGATCGGAAGGACTGCATTAGTAAATCGTAAAAAAATTTAGGACTGAATTGAAACAATCGAAAGGTTTAAGACCGAATTTGCATAAGTACAATTGGTTTAGGACTTTTTGGGTAAATTTCCCCTTAAATCGAGTAGATTGATTTGAAGTAATCATCAACATCTCACATCATTTAACAGTAAAGACCTAACTAGAGCATGGCAATCGCATTATTGTCCGTTGTAACGTTTTCCGGAGATAACGTCACTTTCATATTCATCCCCACATCATACTAGAAAATTAAATAAACTGTGATTCTTCAAGAAAATTAGGTTGCGCTAATGGTGCAATAATTCGGGTTGCCGACGCTCTTTCTGTTTCTTCAGAAAGAAACGTAGAACCAACTTCCACAAATTCAGGTCTTAAGTAACGTAAAAACAACTCCAACCATTTCATGCAGTTCGTCTCCTTCATTGAATAATCCGAGCGAGAGGAGCCGTGCGACCTCAGCGATCTCTCAGTCTCTCGATCAGCAATAATCGTGGATTTTTTTTTAATTAATCCGTTGTTGTATTAAAGATTTTAAAAGGAATTATCGTGTCTGAACTCACCCTCAAGAAGATTGCGTTGCGATCGAAATCGGATTTCCTGGTCAGAAAAGTCTCGACATTCTTCCAACTCGACTAATTCTTTTTTCAAAAGTAATCAAAGATCATTCTAGCTCGTTAGGCCCCGACCAATCTCATACACATCATAAAGTATAAGCACAAACATATAGAAAAATTAGAAAGCAAAAAGCAAAAAGCAGGAGGGGCCAAGTCCCTCAAATGATAATATTATTATCGACAACATTCTATATGAGGTCAGGGGTATTGCTTTCGTGGAATTAAAGACACTTCATTGCACCTTTTTCAGGATATATAAATGGACAATATAGATGATTAACTATGTCACTTTGCGAGTTCATTTCAGACTGAATCGCGGTTAATTGATGACTTAGCCACATTTGAATAAACTGAGTTTTGTATGAGATCATGTCTCGCATGACCCGGCGTTTGATTTGGCCAAAATATCGCAATAATGGATGATGAAAATGACATGCACCCACATCTTTTGATGCAGGTCCCCACTCGATCCAACCAAATTAGTGGACAATGTCAATGTGCTTGGTCCCGTCGCGACGAAGATATCATGATGTACTATTATTCGAATAAATTTTGCTAATTTATACGTGTCCTCATGTTAGAGACACAAAGCATCGATTCCAACTAAATGTAAGGTACCTTTGTTATCCCAGCTTTCTAGATATTTTTATATAGCGATCGGGTCATATTCTGGATCGATTGTCGCGACGCGTTTCTTAGTGAACTAACACTAGCTAGCTGGGCGAATCTTTTCCATTCCGGAGAGCCTGAACTGGTTGGTTGTGGAAAATAGAATTGAATACAGTCTAAGTGTTGAAAGGTAAAATGTAAGGAAGATCAGATCATCATAAGATAATTTTATTAGACACCCGAGATACAACCGGTGCAAGACAAGCCCAAACACACACATAATCACTCTCAGGAAGCATTAACAAGCAGCAGATTCAAGATTCAAGACCAACCCTCTGCAGAAGTCCGACGACGATTGAGGGCAGTCTCTTGGCTTGTAGCGTGCTTGGTTAGAGAAGCAAAATTACATAAGCAAGACACAAAGCAAAGAAGAGAGAGACGGCGGCGGTCATCCATGGTTTAGAAGAGATGGTGGTGCTTCTTGCCATGAGCCTCTTCATCTTCTTTCTTGGACTCCTTCTTCTCGTGGTGCTCATGGAAGGCGAACCCGCCGGCCCCGACGGCGGCGGCTGCTGCTACTTCCTCCTCTATCTTGTGCCTGTGGGCGTGCTCTGGGTCCTTCTTGGCCTCATGCTTCTCATACTGCAATTTGCACATCATTAATTAGGAATTGTGTGAATGAAACAAAATGAGTTAAGGTAAAGAAAAGAAAAAGAGTTTAATTTATTCACTTTGAGCAGAAGTTTTTGATCATGTACATACTGTTATGGATTACAACTATGTTTTTTCAAGCCAATTGTGGGGAAATCTTATTCCTCTACTTGATCGGTGAAGGAAATTGATTGAATTCAAACAATTGTTCATTTATAAGGACGATTCATTCTTGCATGGCATGCCATCATCATGTCCAGTTGAAATATGTGAGTGTAATCGAGATCCTTGGCATCCAATGCTTGTGATCACAGTCTGATGGTTCAGGTCAACAAGGTGTAGACGCGAATTTTATCTATATATAAAATGGGAAAAATATCGCAAGAATTGAGAAGGAGAAGATAATCATTACCAAGGCATAAGCGCCGGCGGCGGCGGCGCCGACCTCACCGAGCTGCTGGAGGTGCTTGTGGTGCTTCTCCTCCTTCTTGTAATCGACCTCGGGCTCAGCATAGGCGACCGCCTCGGTGGTCTCGGCATAAGCGCTGTCAGGGCCACTGCCGTAGGCAGTCTCGGAGTAGACGGCGGCCTCGACGGGTGGCTCGTCCTCCTTCTTGTGGTGGAAGAGGTGGTGGCGGTGTTCCTCGGCCATGGTTGATGGTTGGTTTTTTGGGGGATGCTAGAATTGACGATTAATCCGGGGAAAGGACTGCGGATAGCTGAAGTGTATGGTATGTGTCGTGATTTTGTTTGAGAGGGAGGGATGGCATTTATAGGGAGAGTTGGCACATGCAAACTCTCACATCCAATCGGGCCAACGTGTGAGGCCTTAAATGCGTGATGGACGGTCAGGATAGGTGGTGTGGTTCAATTCGCTGCATCTTTATCTTCTTTCAATAAAGCAGTTGTTTGTAAGTCAAGCCAAAAAAAAAGAAATTAAAGGATGAACTTTTCTTTTTTTTTTTTTTTTGTTCTTGTTGGGGGATATTTTCGGTGGTCGAGTATTTATTTGGCAAATAATTTTTATGAGTGGGAGACGGGAAAACAGTGAAAATCTCGAGGGCATTCCAATCTTCTGTGGATATTTAATGTACTGGGTTGAGAATAAAAAAAACCCGATCCAAATAAGTTTGAATGATCTGTCAGTTCGAGTGGCTTTCCCATAAGGGATTTCCTATTCTTGATATATAATATCTGGCTGATGATTCCTTTATGAGTTGAAAAGCAAAACAATGAAATTTTAAGAACATACGAATCTCGTGGATATTTGATATAACATGTTGAGAATATGTCTTGAGATTGAGTTCATAAAATGAATCCGATCTAAGTAAATTCCTAACTTGAGTATGTTTACTAATTTGAGTAGCTTTCCTAAAAGGGGTTTCTTATCTTGGATACAAATTATTTGGCAGGCGATTTTCCTGAGTTGAAGTGGGAATTGAAATGGGAAAAATGAAAATCTAGAGAACATTCAAATTTGAGTATTTTTCTAATTTTGAGTAGGTTTCTTTGAGTAGTTTCCCGATTTGAGTAACTTTTCTAAAAGGGATCAATGTTACTACGGAATCACGCATCTCTAATAATCTTATCATTTCATGTTGATTTTTATGCTAATTTATTCTTCTTCTCGCCTTAAGCTTGAACTACAAGATTCATTAACTTACTAATGTAATTGTAGGAGTCTAAAGTTCAAGATGAGGCTTCATGTTGTAGGTGGGTGGCTTTGACTTATCGATTAAGGAACCTCATTGCTTGAATGTGCTCCACGTACACTATTAATTGAAGATCTAATGACAAGGGTTCTGAATCAAGAAAGAAATGTGCTTCACGCGTCGTCCGTGATTTCATACCGACTTAATTTTCCTTCTCGCAAAAGTGATTTTTTCTTTTTAGATGGTTTAAGAATAAGAGAATAAGTTAAATTTTTCATCACTGCACTTCCATTTTTACTTTTATTTTTCTTTTCCTGCTATACTCTTAAATTGTTTGTAAGACGCATGGCTTTTTATCCACATTAATTTTTCGAGGGGCGGACTCTTAATTTAATTATATATCAGAACTGGCTTGTGGATGCTCCATCAATGTATTTGCTAACATCTTGTCTACTTATACTAACATGTGGAATAGTGGTAAAATGTTATTAGCGTACGTAATGACATTTTATGATCTCGAGGCACGATCAATTGTCTCTCTCACATTTTACTTGATAGATCTATTCTTTTTTATGCCGACCTACCTTTAAATCTATTTGCCTTTAATATTTATATGGGTCTAGTATGAAACTTCGTCAGCTCAACAATCTGTCCATGCCATTGAATTCTTCGTGACAGTTAGTAGCTCCCCCACATGTGAACAGTTCTTACGCCCTTTGTTCCTGGCGATTACTAGATGCCGACACCATCGATTTGGTTTATTTATTTAATTTGGTCGAGCCCCTTCATTTTAGATCTGGCAAGTGGCAACACCTATGTTCATATATATAAAATAAAATGGGTCGAAATTATCTGATGATGCTGAGAAGGTGGGATATCAATAAAACATGAATAAATGAATAAATAAGCAAATGAACATATGTTAATCAATCGTTAAGAAAGGTAGGTTTCCTTCCGTAGGAGGACCATCTCCGACATGAATAAATGAATAAATAAGCAAATGAACATATGTTAATCAATCGTTAAGAAAGGTTGGTTTCCTTCCGTAGGAGGACCATCTCCGATAAATAAAAAAGTGGCATATGATTAAGAAGACATTATGGAAACGGATTAGCATATACTGAGATCCCATTACAAATGGGGTCCTACTTATCTATTTCCAAAGTGATGGGCCCCCCCTCCTATTTATTTATTTATTTATTTTTTGTGGTTGGTTTGATTGGATCGGTGGCCCGACTGGACAGATATCTCAATTTTTGTGGCTATCCTTGGAAACTTTTTGATGGTCCTGGCTTGCATGTACTTACTGAGTTGGGGAACTGTATAGTTTTCCTTATGTATTTTGCTACTTATTGCAAACGAGGAAGAAAAGAAAACAGTGTAAAGTTGATCACGTTTCAAATCACTACACTTTAAGAGATTTCATGATAGGCCCCTTTATTTTAATTTTGTCTTGGATTCTAATTCTCATGCTGTTCTCTAACCACAGTTTAAGTCGTTTTGACGTACTTTCATTCGAAACATGGTGAATAACATATTCGATTTGGCACTCGTCATCGACAGATAGTAACTGTATGTAAAAATCTTTGCGGCGTTCCAATCTTTTGCCATTAGCTTTAATTGACTGCCTTGTATAGTGAAATAAAGGTTCCTTCATCACAACGGTGGTTGGTCTAGTGGCGTAAGGCTTACTCCCAAATGGTTCGAATCCCACGGTCTCTCCTCGGCCGCAGGCAACCTTGGTTCTTTTGCAGCATTGGTTCGGCCATGATATAAGATAACCCCTGTTCAGATCTAGATCCCACTGGCACGATAATGGGGACTGAGGTAATGGGTTTGCTCACGATGAGCAATAGTTATGTCTTAAATCGAACATTCTGTCGCGGGTATGGAACTCCTGTGATAACAGAGGCGGCTGACTAACGCCGATTTAGCATTTCAGATAAATGCATCACACGTCAATAGTTAGCCCTCTCTCAACAAATCCTTTCAAAATTTCAATGTAATTATAGCTAAAATATAAAAAAAGAACATATTGTCAGCTAATCATTTCAAATATAGTTTTTGTTTGAGATCTATTCTCAAAGTGTTGCCAAATGCATCTTCCAGATCACTTAAAGAGAAAGTACACTAGGGGGGTTGGGGGGGGGGATAAGTCTTGTAAAGTTTTGCACCAGATGGAACCAAGGCACTATTCTAACCTGCCCCTCGGATCCGTCGACATAGCATGTACTCTCCATCAAACTTGAAAGATGGTGTTCACTATTCAATGCCCGAAAAAAAATAAGCTGATATAAAAACCTCGACTTTCTTGTAGATCGGTGCGAATTATGTAGCGGGAAATGTGCATCTGAGATCCGAGAAATATGAACGGAATGCAATCGGGTTTCAAACGGGGCAGTTGATATCGAGGGAGATATCGACTGGACGATGGAGGATTTTCGTTTTCAAACTTTCGCATTCATTGGATACGTTAAAGCACTAGAGACCCGAGGGGAAGACCGGTCCTTCTGCTTTATTGGAGACATAAAAGTGGACGGTGGGCGGGTCCATTGGAATGGCCGCTGGAGTGGGAGCTTTGTGTCGGCAAGAGCATATCCACACACCTTAGTATATTCTATTTCTTTCTTTTTTGAAGTTTCTTAATGAGCAAAGAAGAGGAATCTTAAGCAGTTTTGGTTCACCATTACGAAGATTAAGATTAAGATATGATCGAACATGACAAAATAACAAATGTGGAGATCCGTTGTATCTTATCTCTTGTTTGATGAAATTCTCTACCATAAAATACGATGGATATAACTAACCACATATAAAATAAAACTAGATAAATTTAGATTAGTTACTTAAAAATTATTGGAAAAGAAAACTAAGAGGAAAATGGCGGATGTAGGATCGCTGCAGTCACAGTGGTCATCCCACTCGATATCGAATATCAACGTCGTGGTTGCCTCTCCGCCGTGACCATCGCAATGGTTGCCTATTGATGCCAACCATCATGACATTGTAAGGACATCGGTAGAAAAATGATGCATTCACATAGAGAGATTGTCACGATGAAGTTTAAGTTTGAGCCTATTAATATATTTAGTTGGACCACATTCATCAAAAAGTTTAAAGGCATGTAGGTTGGTCGGAATATTAATTGCTTAACAACATGCTAATTAATCTTCCACGCAGCTTTTCTTTAGCCAACTTATACATGCAACTCAACATACATCATCTCATCTGTCGTCGTGGTGGTTGACCACCCCTACGATCCATAAACATGGAGAGGGGTGAACGGGAAAAGGTGAAATCATAAGCAATCACTATGATGATAGTCGCTCGAAATGTGTGACCTCTGTGATGGGATTGAGTGCGACCATCGTTCGGTATACTAAGGTAAGATAAACGATCCCTATTGCTTGGATAAGTTGTCTAGGATTCTATCCTGACTTATTCAGGCTTATCCCAATCCGAATATGTCTCCAAACTCATCATAGAAATTTTTTATTTTATTTACTCTTTTATCCAAGCTACCATATTTGTTCTTCGGATTTGAACTCCTAACACGAATTGACATGGTTTCACGGGTTTAAAAATAAATGTTGTCAAATCCAAATGGTGTGAATATAAAATACATAATATATTTTTGTGTTCAATATGAATATAAAGTTTTGTAACGATTCAATGTGACATAATCCGAATTTAAGTATAAGTGAACACAAAAATCCAATTCTTGACTACTAGATTAATGTACTTTTTAGTGGTTACTAGTTACACACTATACATGTACTTTATCAAACTTCCCTTAAAACTTATAGCGCGTTTGGTTATAATAATGACTGTTACATAACAGGTCTATTGCAGATTGACTACCTATTGCATGATTTTCTTGTTGTAATAGCTATTACAGCGTGATCATATATTCATTTTGTTTTAATTATCTTTTTAAGCAGGCAAGATTAGCCTTAGGATGTCAATTTGATATCAACTGACATGGGTTTTGATAAGTTTATGAAAGTAGATATTGTCAGCTCCACAAATGACATGATTTCAAAATACATAAGCATGATATTTCGACAAAAGTACAAAGTTTTATGATGACGCTACATTGCATG